TGATTGAAGCTTATTTGTTTTTATTACTGATCAGTTGAAAAGTATTTTCTTATTATATTTGATAACTTATTTTAGACTTGAAATTTTGAGGTGTAGCTTGTGGGGGAAAGTAACAATATGTTTACTTTAAGGAGTGAGTTTTAGTCATTACTATAGGTCTAAGCTTGTTATACTCAAACAGGACACGAAGATTAAAATAGATTAAGACCGCTGAGTAATCTTGGAGCTGCTGTTTTCATCTTGTTCCAGTGCATACCTGAGTTGAAACCTTATGCCCCAGGCGTGCCAATAGATGTTGTTGGAACTAGACTTGGTGAGAAATACTTGATTTCAGATCGGAATATGGTGACTTCTTAATCAAGTTCTTCCATAGTTGCCGACTTTCTGGACTACCCCAATGAGCCTTGGACATTATTCCACGCAACATGTATAATCTAAACTTTTAAAATTTCTTTTTTATGCTCTGAGTTTGGATGAGGATTAGTTTCAGAACATATCTTTCTATATTATATAAATATGAAGTAGGGTTGTGTACCCATTATAAATACGGACTTTGTGCATCCATTGTTTTAATACGTTATGATGTGGTTGTTTTACCTTTTTCAGTCAATATTATCCTCACCGTTTAATCCTTCTATCAATTTTAGAAGTGAAGCTACAGTGGTGTGGTCGGAACTCTGGGACAGTCACAAGGTTTCGCTTTGGGGATGAGGAAGCAACAGGGATCCACCTATGTCATACAATCTGAGTTTCTCTCCATCATTCTCATTCTACTATCAACTCTTCCAATCAGAAGAAGATCCTTCACTTCCCTCTCAGAAGGTCCTACATGGTAATGCATGTTTGTTTTCTCTTTCTTGTGAATCGAAACATGTGTTATCTCTTTCTTGTGAATCGAAATTACGTAAGAAACTAGGTGCCTGCCCTTTGAAATGGCCATTTACTAGATATCGATCCTCATCTCCCCTTCTTTTTTTGATTAAAGCTATTTTTGAAAAAATGTTTTACTAACTTCTACGACAGAAGGCATTGGGTCTAGCAGCCTGTTTCATATTCCATAGACTAAAAATTAGACTTAGACCAAGACTTTCCACTTTGAGACAAGTCAATGTCTAGAAACCTCTTTTCTTTAGGGAAATAGGGAATTGGGCTAGCAATCACATAGTCATAGTGTGTACTATGGAGTATTATCTATATATTTTACTATACCTGACACAATGAAATTCCTGTGTGTATTGGTTTGAGGAAATTGCGTTCTACGATAGAGGAAATGGAGAAAGAAAACATAGAACCAAAACCAAGGACTATTCAAGGAGAGGTTAAATATTGTTTGTGGTTTTCTTAAGTCTCAATATGCTTATATTCATCTGAAATTGTACTCAATACTTTAGCCCTAAATGTCAAGTAACTGCTTCCAGAAGGCCAAAAAAAATACTGCCTTTGAGGTTGATTTAGATTTTGAGCACAATATGAGACTGGCACCGGTGATTACAGAGGAAGTTACTTTGTCCCTAGAAGAATTGAGCCGCAAACGGATTGTTGAGGTGATTGCCCTTGCAAATTTTGTGTATTTTATGCTATAATGTCAGTAATCTCTTAACATTGTATGTAGGATTTGTTCTTTAGAGATATTTGATATTCACCTTTGTTTTATATTTTTTTCCTTTACAAAATTGTGCTTTTATACTTAATTTGTCAAGAAATTTGAGTCTTATATGCACCTTTTTACTCTCTCTGTCCTATATTAAGGTTCCCATTTGAATATGGCACAAAGTTTAAGATATTTTTTTAATGACAAGGGTGGGGTATGCTCTGCTATGTGGTGGTCCATGTGACTTAAATTTAAAAGCAGTAGTGCATGATATAAGACTAAGACAATATTTTCCTTTTTAAGACATGTGAAGTTTTTTTTTGGTTGGCCCAAATAAGGAAGTGAGAAGTTTATTTTGGAACCAACAAATATATAACAAGATTAAACTTGGTGTGATAAATGGTACTCCTATTATATGTTGTTTGATTTTTTTAGGTTGTTATTTTATAAAATGTATTGACAGGTTGATGAGGAGCCAAGTATTGGTGAAAATGCATTTGTGTGGCTAGCAA